CCATGTACGGAGGGGTAAAAAAAAAAATTGGGATGGAAAATTCATCTCAGCAACAACAAATATCACAGATGTATGTTTAAACAATAAAATCAAAATTGACTTTAAATATTTAAAAGCCTTTCAGTTGGTGTTATCTTGGCCACTTAAGACAAAAATACAAAACCCTATAACCTGCGTGATTTTCAAAGATGAACCTTCCTTCGTCAGGCCTGAAGTTTTAGTCACTTTTCATCATATTTAATTAAGATGCAAAATGAATGGTTGCAATAATTTGGTAGCTTAGTCAAAAGTTGTCAATAAACGAAAACATTTTCTTATTGGCCTTTCCTTGGCATTATTTTCATATCTAACACACCTGAAATACATGGAAACTGAACAAAAGTGAAACAGAGAATAATAATACTTTTATATGTTACAAAATCGAAATAATTATTTCTATGATCAAAAACTGTGTGCAAAATGTTGCTAAACCTCTGCAAATTCTTTAATTTACATGGTGAATGTAGTACTAGGAAGTCAGTCATCTAAAAATATAAGATTTTATTAATTTTTTAGGCTGATTGCTGAAAATATGTATATGAAATTCTAAGCAGTAATTTGTTTTCTTTATCTTCAAAAATTAAGCATCTTAAAATATATGTGTTTTAACTATTTTGTTCTACCCAAGTAAGTAAGAAATGTTTAAAATACAACTACTCAACAATTTGTCATAAACAAGTCCCAATGATAAAGCTAAAATCATTATCTAAAAATGTTATGAAAATCATTTTAAAGGAATTTGTGTACAAGTTATTTTTTGGTTTTATAATTCAAAGGACCTCCCAACCTTTTCTCCATTCACTATGGCAAAGCTGCATTTAAAAGCACACTTAAGTGTATCTCGGTCTAGCCTTTGAAGGAGGGCACCACCACTCCCAAAAGTTACATTGTCCGTGCTCCACTGGTATTCCTTCAACTTTTGTAGTATTGGTCCAAGAGATTTGTAGCTGATGCCATCTCCTTGAATTAACCGAAGGTAGGGTGGAAGAACCTTATAACCTTTTCTGTTTTTTGTTGTCCCAAATTGCTTGCCTAAAATTTCTAAAACCTAAAGATATGTACAAAAGTAAGAAAGATTTCTGAATAAAAACATTAAAAACTGAATAAATGTTCTCATGCAAAACTAGTTAACTCTTTCCATATGTGCATGTCACAAGGTTTTACTGAGTTGCATTCAAAAATTAAACTACTTTATTATCATGGCATACCAATAAACTTGGCATAAAAACATAGCTAATAAGTCAAATTTTTATGTTATATAAATTTTAAGGTCTTAATGTTATGAGGAAATATTTTTTTAAATCCTCAATCTCCCCGAAAAAGGAGAATTGTGACATTTGTTCTCCTTTTCTAATTTATATAACATCCCTCCTAGAAGTACAAAATTTAATGTAAATTACTCATTAATTAGACAAAGCATAATTTTATGGCATTCAATCATATTTGGTTAGGGAGCCATAAACTTAGAAAATCAGACCCCTCTTGCCACACTCACCTGTCACATCTATATTATTTATAACCAACATAAAGACAAATGATGTATTATATTACACTGTTTTCTGTACAGATAACTGTTTATCTCACTTCCAGTTCAAACTTTATTCCCACAGGAAACACACAAATGAACATAGCTGAATGTTTAATGCCTCTTATCACAAAATTAGAAAGCCAGAAAAATTATGATAGTTATAGGACATTGTATGCTATTTACATGTTATTATTCTGCATTCTTAGAGGTATTATTTAATTAAATAACAAATTTAGTGCAGTATTACCATTAGTATAAAAACAAGTAGGGTTAATTTTCATTGGCAGTTAACAACAACAAAAAAAGAAGACCCATGTAAGTAATACATTTCCTGTTTATCATGTGTGTTTTTTATTATTATAAAAGTAACTAAAATGTAACAATTAGAAACTTATTAGGTTAGCTCAGGTAGAATAAAGAAAATAATAATAAAAATACTTCATGACATATGCTCGCAAGTAGCCCATGATAATTTGATAGAGTGACATGAGCTACATGTTCGCCAAGTGATTTACAACTCGTGTGGTGAGATTATTCGTTAGACACAGTTCAAAGGGCAATAAGTACTTCCAGAGTTATAGTATGTATACCACCGTAATTATATGGTGGTTACAAGGTCATGTAAAATACAGAAGCCCATTGCAATAGGGTTAAATCAGTTTACTTCATATCATAAACAAGCTCAACTTAAAGCATGTCTTGAACATACTAAAAATCTAAAGCTTTATTTTCCTTAAAACTGTACAAGTTATAAAATATTTTTATATATACTACACTTTTGTCTTCCCAAATGCAGTTATATATCTATGAATAAAACCTAAAACAAAAAACACAATGAAAAAGTATGGGACATACATGGTACCTTTATAGAGAAACAATCTTTGACACAGTTTTTCAGTGGACTTACTTTTAACACTACCGTGGCTGGATCCCCAGAGTCTGGCCTAATAACGAGCACACCTCCTTTCTCTCCCCGGGCCTCCACAGCAGCCTTTAACTCTGTACCCCAGATGTTTTGACAACAGTTAAACACATCGTAGCTGTCACTTACCACAGCAATAGTTCCTGATGGAAAGTGGTTCAGCATGTTACGACAAGCTTCATCTTCCCTAGACTTTCCCCATGTGGTCATGGTACTGAGACCAGCAGTTTACGAAAGAAAAACATTATATATTTATCATCAAAAGATATTGTGGCAAAGAAAAGAGAATTCATGTAACTATTCATTTGTAAAAACAATTATATTAAATAGTAATCAATTTCTTTAGATGGAAATACCAAAATTTAGTAATACATACTGGTTAAGTTCCAACATATTACAGTTTTATTCACAGCACAGCTTAAATAATATTAAAATAAAGAACACAAGTATTAGGAAAAAAAATTATTGCTAAATAAAGAAGCTATGTAGGGCTGGCTACTGAACTTGAAAAAGGGAACCAAACAAGATAGGGATGGAAGTGAAGATATCACTTGATCTGGCTAATGATCACACAGCAGACTAAGACATCTCAACTTTACATGGACAATATAGTCCCTACATTACTGGCTTCCCTACTCTGTCTATTGAAAGCTTAGTGTTTGAATAGAAGCTCTGCCTTCAACATTATACCTTTTCTTTAATTAACTTCAGAATATCACTTTTATGACTATTTTACAATAGATTAACATTTTACATTTGGAAATTCTGGTTCTATTTGTTTTGCCAGTGAGGGATACAGTACTATAAGGATTTTATTCTCCATGTAAGGTCAAGATGACTTAGTCTGCTATGTGATCATTAGCTGGATCAAGTGATATGTCCACTTCCTTCCCTAGCTTGTTTGGTTCCTTTTTTAAAGTTCAGTAGCCAGCCCTACATATCTTTTTTATTTAGCAAAACATTTTATTCCCAATACTTGTTTATTCATTTTATTTATAAGATGGCATACGTGGGTTACTATGTTATAGAGTGTATTCTAAACTTTGTAAGTTTTGCATAGAATAATAATAGAATAGGTAGTCAAAGATCGTAAAGATTGTTTTGCTCTATGAAATAATGATAAAATTACAGTTGCTGCTAAGACTACATAAGCCCTAGGCCTGTTGAGGAATGATGATAATAAACAAAAATATGAAATCTCAGTTTTGCTATTCACGTCTTTTTTTTTACTTCGAGAGGTAATAACGTTGTTTACACTAAAATTATGATTTTTTTCTTTTTTTTTAAATAAATTTTGCAAAGAATAATAATAAAATAGGTAGTCAAAGATTGTGAAAACTGTTTTGCTCTATCAAATGGTGATAAAATTATAGTTACTGCTACAACTATAATGCCTTGCAAAAATATTCACCCCCTACCAATAATGTCACATTTTGCTAAAATACAAATCATGTGAACAATTTTTTTTAATGATCAAACTTAACACTGTTATATGTGAAGGAGGTTGAATGTCAGCAAATCCTGCAAAGAAAATATATAAATTGAAATTTGCTGTTTACATAAGCATTCATCCCCCTAAATCATTACTTGGTGGAAGCACCTTTGGCAACAATTACTACTGTGAGTCTTTTTGGATAGGTCTCTACCAGCTTTGCCCAACGAGATGGCCTAATTTTTGCCCATTCTTCCTGCCAAGATTGCTAAAATTCTGACAAGACAGTTGGGAATCGTTGATGGACTGCAATCTTCAAGTCACAACATAAATTTTCTATTAGATTCAAGGACTTTGGCAGGGCCACTCCAGTATGGCTTTGGCCTTGTTCTTCGGGTCACTGTCCTGCTAAAATATAAATTTTCAACCCAGTTTTAAATTATTGGCTGACACAAGCAGGTTTTCCTCTTAAGATTTGCCTGTACTTTGCACCATCTATCTTCCCCTCAATACTGACAAGTTTACCAGTCCCTGTTGATGAGAAGCATCCCCATAACATATTGTGCTGTCACCATCATGCTTGATCATTGGGATGGTGTTGACTGAGTGATGTGCTGTGTTGGGCTTACGCCAGACATAACGCTTTGAATTTAGACTGAAAAGCTCAATTTTTGTCTCATCTGACCACAAAACCTTCTACCACATGTAAACAGTATCATTTACATGCTTTGTTGCAAACTCCATATGAGGTTTAAAATTATTCTTTTTCAGTAATAGCTTCTTTCTTGCCACTAGCCCATGCAGACCAACTTTGTGTAGGGACCAGGATATTGTTGATGTTTGAACACTAACTCCCATCTCAGACATGGAACTTTGCAAGTCTTTCAAAGTCACTGTTGGCATCACAGTGGCATCCCTAACCAGTTTCCTGCTTGCCTGGGTGCTTAGTTTGGAAGAGCAGCCTGATCTAAGTAGTGACTGGGTAGTATGAAGCAAATTCCATTTCTTAATGATGTACTTCACCATACACAAATCAGCAACCTTGAAATTTTCTTGTAACTTTCTTCTAATCTGTGCCAGGGTTTGCAATAGTATGACAGTATCAGGTTGCCAGTACCAGTAATTGAGCATCTCTAATCATGTGACTTGAGCAATTAGAAATTCAACTATTCTTCCCAGTGTGTTCTGGTGGGAAATATTTTTTTGCAACAAGCCAAACTGTCAGTTATCTGTAAGCCCACATTGTATGATAACTATGGCAATGAGTCAGTTGAAATCTAGGTTTTTTATTGGTTATAAATTTAATGGGAGTTAGCCTTAGAAAAATCTATTAGCAAATTGTAAATTACAGCATGTCAGAGGTAGGCATGAAAAGTGGTTTTTGAAATTTAATTGATTGCTCTTTAGCCCCATAAGATTGAAGAATAAAAAAGTATAGCTTCAGATCGTCGATGATGAAAATTATAGAGAATATTTTATGTTACATTTCATAGTTTTCTAGGGGGTGGACAAAAAAATCCAGAAGAGGAGACGGCTCAAGAACAAATATCCAAATTCTCACACGAGGGGGATTTGAGGTTGTTTTTAAATATTTCCTTATACAATTATAAACTTAAAATGTATATAATATTAAAATTTGATTTATTATTTATGGGTTTAATGTCAAGTTTGTTCATATACCATGATGTGACGTATTTATTATTATATATTTATTTTAATATCAACGTTTGTTTAGATTAAGCTTATATTTAAAAACATGCATAGCTTATAGTGTTAGATATGCATTGCGAAACTCCCACCTATTCTCCAAAGTTGTCGTACATTCTCGAGAGTAAGAATCAAAAATATATGTATTTACGTAAATGCTTAAATGTAGCTCAGTATTGCTACATAAAACTGAAATTTCAAGAAAGCCTCCAAACACCTATAAATATAACCAATGCGATGCACCAAAAAAAGAGTATCTATTATTAATTTGCTATAGTCAGTGTGCTATAAACTTCGGAAGCTATAAGTGTGATTGTTATAACACTTATCAATCCGAAAACTTAAGATACTTGACCTGGAGCATTTACAAAGTTCAAACAATACAAATCATTTAACTACAGTGGATTCTCATCGGACATTAGTACTTTTACGAAAACCTTACATAACGTCAGGGTGGAAAACTCTGTGTGTGTGGCTGGTATATAACAAAGGACAAAGCTAGCTACCTCCCTGTTAGGTGAATTATATCTATGTCAACTCGTAATTAACTCACTCATTGTGAACCCTCGATAAGATATCAATGAATTACCAGACTAGAAAGATGAGTTGTAAGTTCGTAAGTTTATGAAACTTTTGTTTATAAATCATGGTGTATAATAACTATTTGTAATAACTGTTATTGTAAACTGTATTGTTGTTTGTATGTTAAAACGTATTTCTTTTAAAAAAGAAAACTGTGTGTATCAATCTTGTTGGCAAATATCATAAACTGACTATATATCAGCTTATATTTAAATACTAAACCCAAAGTACGATTTAACTGCTAAATTTAAATTTATTATTTAACTCAATTTCAGGCTATTTGAAATTCCAATATGTAACAATGATAATTAAGTAGTTTAATTAAATTTTGAATGTAACTCACTAAAACATCATGACATGTGCAGTTTGACCTGCCCACATGCTAAGGGTTAATCATGCACCTACATAATGTGCAGTCAGTCACGTGGGTACATTCACATTCTCTTCCAGAACATGGGAGTCACCAGTTTCCCATATTTCATGCTATTTTCATAGTAAGACTGCTTATTGATTGAAGTATGAACTCAAAACTACCACATAAAACCTTTATAATTCTGTGAAAAGCAAAGCTGAATACCAAATGAGGCATTTGGACAACACCCTGAAGATTGGGCATGTGGTAACAGATATTATTCTCAACATATGATACATTATAAACCAGTACCGGTACAGACTGCGAACCCTGATCTGTGCTTCTCTACCACTTTATCCCTGATTTGTTTGGAGATCTCCTTGGTCTTCATGGTTGGTTTGTCGTACCACTATATGAGTTGTGGCTTGAACAGATACATTTACTCTGAAGTTAAGTTAAACCACTTTGATTATACACAGACAGAGATCATTACACTAATTTTGTGACCTGTCAAACTAATTTTTTGCACCTGAACTGATTTAGGGTTGCCGTAGCAAAGGGATTGAATACTTACGCAATTGAGAATGTTCTAATTTTCTTTGAAATATAACTTACTTACATAATATCAGCGTATTTTTAGCATTTCTCAGCTTGGAGTAGATTATGTAGATTCTAAATATAAAGTTACATTTGAAAGTTCCATGATTGCAAGCTCAGGTGGCAACAAAATGTGGAAATATAACTGATACTTGAAACCATCGGTACTTGGTGAAACTACATAATTACAGAATTGAGAAAAAACAAGACAATTGTACATTTCACAAATGCAATAAATGATTTATTTGTGAAATGTACAATTGTCTTGTTTTTCCTCAATTCTGTAAAATGTGGACACTTTGTGGGGGGGAGTGAATACTTTTGCAAGGCACTAGCTCTGTTGAAGAAAGATGATGATAATGAACATAAGAAATCTTGGTTTTGGCTACTCGCCAGTTTTCGACTTTGGGACACTCTAGATAGCTGAAGAGCAGCATATACACCAGAGATAGAGCAACTATGACATATCTAGCTTCTGATGACCTGTAGAGAAGAAAATCCAGATGACTTTTGTATTGCTTTAATACAGGCATCCATGCCATTC